GAATCCCTGAGGAGAGCCCTGCTCCCGCTCTCTCTCCAAACACCATCCCCTCAGCTTGCTTTCTGCCTTGCACGAGTTTTTCTAACTGAAACAGGCTGGCTTGAAATAAATCAGGCTGAAATGGAGCTTGGAGATGTGAGCTCAGCCTGGGACACATCTCTGTGCCTACAGGAGACAGCCATACATCATTTAGGAATCTAAATCTACCATCCTTCGCACACACAGAGTCAAATTTCCCTCTTTCTTTTATTACCATTTTATTAATTAGAGCAGCCTACATGTAAGTGCTTAAAGAAGAAGAGAAAAAACAACACAACTATCTTCTGTGTTGTTCTGACTCTAGTTCGTTGCTGGTCAAAAGAATGAGACTGGTTAAAATTGGAAATCGTATGGAAAGAACAATTCTTTTTCTCTTCCAGTTTCTGACTCTTGTCCCAGCTTCTGCAGGCTGAAAGAAACGTGCTGTTCAAATGCAAATATTTAGTAAATGACAAGCTATGGTGTATTTTTTCAGTGGCCTATTAGTTGAGCCTTATCCAGATCCATAGCCTTGAAGTGGCTAATCATTTGAACCCATCTACAGGGAAGCCAAAACCAGACAGCTACCTGCAGCCTTCCGCAATGGCGTACAGGAGGCTTGTCACCCTGAAGGAGCATCTGGGCAGGTGTTCAAGTTCCTGTCACTTTGATCCAGCCGTTCTTCCACTCCGCCCGTCGTTTCCATCACCCTGGGACCCGGCACATGCCAGCGCTAATTAAATGACAGAACTACAAGCTTTATGTTTGACTTATTCTATAGTCCTTCATTCTAGTACTTTGTTACAGGGCAAAATAAGAAAATTCATGCAATTAAAAGACAACAGGTTGTTGAAGATGAGAAAATGCTGCATTATCTATCTACCTATTATTTTAACGCCAGTGAAACTCAGAGTAAACTCTTTATTGAAAACGTCCTCAAGTTCCCAACAGACTCGCACAAGGATCTGCTCCAGGGACAGGACCCAGCTCACTGATCCTATCTGAAGTGTGTAAAATCAATATGAGACTCCAAAACTTCAGAAAGGGAACCAAATTAACCCCCAAAAGTAAACATATATTCTTAAACCCTGTGGAGGGAACAGACCTATGTAGTGTCAATTACATATCTTTATAATTGCCCAGTTATTGGACCCCGACACAGATGTTTCTCGGTCTCTTACATGCAAGAGCTGCGGCTTTAAGTGAGCTCCACTGTGCTGATTTTGGCATTTCTTTCCCTTTGGATTCTGCTGCAGTTTTATGTTCATCAAGGACTGAAGTTGGGAAAACATAGGCACTCCCTTACATATGAAGCTTTATTAAGTTGGGATCATGCTCTCTGTTGGCAGGCAGAGGAACAGAGACAGAGGAGAATGAAACCAGGAAGGGAAAAAAAAACCAAACCAAAACACAAATAACTTTCACTCTTCAGAGCAGGCACGCCTTCTTACTCCAGCTCCCGCTGCCGATCATTCATCCCGCTCCTCTCAGCTCCCAGCCAGTAAAGAGTCAACATCTCATTCCTATGAAAACATGAGCTATCCTGCTCCTGAGCCATATACCAGAAAACACACTGACAGGGACTCAGGAGGATCCTATTTCTTAGGATAGAATTGCATTTCCACAGTAGAACTGAAATATCTTTGATTACAACAGAAGCAAGGTCAATGGTGCTTTGAAGTGTCTTATTTTGCACGGCCTGTGTATTACCTAACTTGACTACAGTCTGGACCTTAACTCCTTCCTTCACAACTAGAGATGCATTCAAAGCCTCTACGGGGGAAAGTGCACAAACTCGCATGATTAATACCATGTGCACATGTGTGTGTTTGTAAGAGGGATATACTGTGCTGTGTGGTAGGTACGCACATCCAAGGAGTGTTTGTCCAAGAACTGTGCAGCCCGGGGAAGGAGGCAAGTACGCATGAGCCGAGAGCTGCCTCCGCTAGAGAGCTGCACCAGCGAAGCACAGTCCAGCTCCGAAAAGGCTTCTGAGCTTTTGCGTAACACAGATCAATGGGTCAGACTTCTAGTTTCCCAACAGCTTTCCCTGACAAATGCCAGAACAGATATCAGTGAAGTCAAACAGGGCAGCAAAAACATCACTGCCAACCAGCGTGAAAATCGGCAGAGCCTGGCACCAAGGACTGCCTGTCATCAGAGACAGGGCATGGCCCGGCACAATGACGAACCCACTTAACAGCGCTGTAAAATTAGCTATTTGTGAAAACAAATTGAATACTGCAGCAGAGGGTGACGTAAGGAGAGTTGGCTCCAGACTGAAACTCCTGTAGCCTGGATTAGCAGAAGAGCTCTATTATATCAGGGCTCAGGCGTAGAAGCTGATAACAACTTGGGTCCTACATGACACAACAGGTTTCCCCTATAGGCACACATGTGGCTCCTATACCACTTGCAGTGACTACTTATGTGCCAGCAAGGAGGGACGGAAGGGGAACAGTCAACACAGGCAGAGGGCGGAGGGCAGAAAGCAGATGAAGATACAAGGAAGATTCCGAAAAAGAGGTGTCTTCTAGTCAATCCTGCCCTCTCCCTCGGATCTGTACAATCACAGAGTTTCCCACTTTGCAACCGGGATAGAAGTTGGGGAGAAACTCGCTTCTGGCACTGTCAGCCAATTTGACCCAGTCCTTGGCCCCCCTCAAACACCCAGAAGGGCTCTTGATTTCAGTGGGGTCCTACAGATGCAACTTCAACAGCAGAACAGGGCTCCTGAGTCTGTCACATCCCAAAACAGTGAAAATGAGAAAGCCAAGAGTTTTGGCAGCCAGAACCCTTGATTTCCTCATTGAGGGAAGCGTAATCTCTCCCTAAGCTTGCTGCAGGTCTGGGAGGCTGTGGTGTGCGGAGGATACTCCAAGTGAGTTCCTCTTGGACCTCTTCCAGGTGTTTACATACAGAGCCAAACCTGGCTCCTCTTCAAGAGTGTGTGTGAGGGGGGGAGGGGGAGCTTAAAAATAAAATAAAAATCACAAAGTCCTCTCGAGCTGAGCTGCAAGCTCTACAGTGCTAAATTGGGGCATTTCTTTTCATTTTTCACAGTGGAATGTTATTTCCATGCATAAAATGGGTCAAGCATTTTATACAGGCAACAACCCAACCTCCCCCATCCAATTAAAGTATTTCACTACAAATGATCTTTGTGTGTGTTTGTCTAAGTTCCCTATTGTATGAATTAGAGATATTTGCAGCAAAGACAGACACGAGGTCTTAGGTGTTGGATTAAACACGTTAAAAAATACACTGACTGTGTTTCGCCACTGATGAGATCAGCGTAAACCCAAATTCTGCCTTTCCTAATTTGAAAGAGAAGCACTTTGAGCCCTGGGGTTTAAGTTAAGATTGGGAACCAGAAGAGTGGAGTGTGAGAAAGCCAGGGCAAATAATGCAAGCAATAATCTATTTCACCTCTGAAATTACTCATCTGCCTGTCCTACTAAAGGCAAAAGGGACCAGCCCATGCCCAGCACCTCCTGCCCACCCCACCAGCCACACACCCCCCACGTCCCCCTCCTCACAAGTCAGCAGAGCAGCCGGGATTGGGCAAAGTTAAGGAAACGCGCTGTTGAGTTCATCTTAGTTTTTGTTTTCCTTAGGACAAAGCAACTTTCTTGCGAGGCGACAGTCGCGCAGTCAGGGATGGGGCGGCAGAGATGGAGAAGATCGCAGCGGGGAGGGTGGCAGGGGAGAGGCGAGCTGGGCTGGCGCGGAGCAGCCATGGTACCACCGGCACAAGCATCCGCTGCCTTCTGGTAGGAAGTGACTCCAGTTAAAGGGAACGGGGAAATCCTCCCTGTCTCTTTAAGGCATCCTAGGACATGGAAACTTTGTACTTTCAGGGAATCTCCTTGCCAAAAGAACTGTAAAACATGTCTTCTCCCCCTCCCTGTTTCTCTTTCTGACTTGTTTTCCTCTTTTTTTTAAGGGCATTTCCATTTTCTATGACTTCCTTCAGAGCAAAGATGGATATGGCGACATTTATAAGGGTTTGTAACCCTCTGAAAAGTATCCGATTTCACGACAACTTCGCTGCACTTTATCACTAAAGCGGGGAGAGGGCGGGAGGTGGCGAGAGGGAGGGGGAGAGGGAGCAAACGTGGGGGAAAAGGACCCAAATTCATGATGGGCTCATAAAATTTAAATACGAAAAGTGCAATATTCCTCGTTATTGTTCAGCTCAGACAGCTTAGACTGGTAGCTGCTTTGAGTACTAAATGATTTTATAGGGCTGTTTGACCTTACAATCGTTTGTGTTACACTTGCCATTTCTAAGGGGAGACAAAAATACTCAACACATCCTCTAGCTGCAGTGCCAGTCCCAGCCCTAGCTGAGTGTTGAGGGGTTGGGAACTTTATAAACTCATTTGATTCATTTAAGGTTTCACAATAGCCAAAAGTTCCTTTATAGCCTCTTGGAAACCACATGCTAACATTGCATCTAAAAAGGTAACAGTGAAGTACACTAAAAAGCTAATAAAACTAAGGAAATCGTATAGGGACCTCAGATGTGCATTTCTTTGCAGCCACACACTAAGACACACACATTTCTTTTCATACACACGTACGAGCTACTTTCAAATGCTCTATTTACAGTTTTCCAACGTGAAAATTAGGTAAAAACCCACCGTAAGGGCGCTCTCGCCTCTCTGCATCTTAATCCGTACACACAGAAACAACCCAGGATACTGCCATTTCCCTATGCAAAAGTTTACATAACTTTCTCTGCGAGCGTATACTTTCAGACAGTTTGCCGAGCTCCGGTATTTCATCAACTATATATATGATAAACGCAGCCGAGCGCGTTTACACACGCACTCACACACGTAGGTCGCGAGGCACACATGCACATTCAAACGTACACACACATATACTACACACACACATGCCTACAGCTGGCTGTTCTGCCGGCTCCCGAAACGTAAAAAGGGATGCTGCAGCCAGAGGCAAGACGAACTACCTACCTGCAATGACAGCCGGAGATCTCTGTCCTCCTTCAGCTTTCAGCCACACTTGCAAAGTGAAGGCATCTCGGGGCAGCTCAATATCTGCCTTCAGCCGCAGCTGATCACCTTGTCCACTGAAATAGAGCGCCCTGCTCGGGGTAAGGGACTCCTCTTCCTCCTTCACCTCCCGCTGTTGCCTCCTGCGGGGGACATGCCCAGGCTCCAGCCCAGCAGTGGAGCGCCTTCCTCGGGCTAACCTGGTGGCACAGGTGCCCGGGGCAGAGTAGCGGAGCTGGCGGCTGTGCCTGGTGTCCCTTCGTGCCCTGCGGGAGCGCTCGTCCATCCCACATTCGGGTCCACTGGCGAGGGCTGTACAGAGAAGCGCAAGAGGCAGCAGCAAACTCCAGAGCTGCATTTCCAATCTTCCCCCCCCTTCTCCCCTGCAAATCCTCCCGATCTGCCAGCTTTGGGCTCCTCCTTGCCTTGACTTTCTTCTCTTGTTCACCCTTCTTGGTATTTGCTCTTTTTATAACCCTTCTCAGTTGCTTTTTCTTTTCTTTTTTTCTTTCTTTCTTTTTCCTGCTTATAGAAATTTTTTTCCCCCCTTAAAACAAATAAAAATAAAATAAATCAAAACTCCTTCTTGGTTGAAATGTATTTCTCTGTTCTTCCTCCTCTATCTGTCTTCTTCTCCTCTATTCCTCCACAGCTGGAATTCCTCTCTCTCTTCTTTTCTCTGCTGGATTTTCTTCCCTTTATTCTTTTTCTTCTTATAAAAAAACAACACACACTCTCACACACACACGAAACAAAACAAAAAACCCAAAACAACCCCCCCAGCTTTCTCTAAGACTCAGACCCACTGATTTCCCTCCCCCCAAAAGATGCTCTAATCTATTTATTTTTTTGGCCTCCTTTATAACAAAAACCAAAACCCACAACCCCCTCCTTCCCCCCAACCTCCCCCCCTCCCTTCTTCTCCACAAAATGAAAGAAAAGAGAAAAAGCCCCTCAGAAGATGAGTAAACAAGAATATGCTAATCTACTCTAGGGTGCTCCACCTTCCCAATTGAATGATTCCCATTAAAACTGCAGGGATCATGACTAATCAATCAGCTTGAAGGAGCAGATAGCTCCAGAGGTTCAAACACTTTTGCTGTTTTCAAAAATCTTTTCCTCTCTTCCTCTTTCCCCCTTATCACTTTCCCCCCCTCTTATTTATTTTTTAAAGAAGACAATCAAGATGAATGGATCAATGTGACAAAAATCCTGCACCCCCCTTTTTGCAATCTCCCCAGCTTTCTTTCTCAGTCCAGTCCAAAACACACATTCCTATTTTTTTTTCTTGGCAGAAGAGAAAGCTACCAAATGTTGCATCAAAGGTCCCCATCGAATCATCAGGAGCTAAAAGAAGAGAAGCTGTTTGAAGAGCATTTGCCTTCCAGAAGCTGTAGCAACAGAGCAGGATTTGGCTTTTCAATGCTCCAAAGACTCCTGGGTTTTTTT